CGCGGCCTGCGGGCTCCGGGTGGTCCCCCCCCGCGCGCGAGGGCGGGTACCGGGTGCGGGCCCCGCGCTCCCCGCGCGCCAGTGGGGGGGCGGACCCAACCCCAGGGTGAGGTCGGGGGGAGAGCTTCCAGAGGGGGACAGAAGTGGGGGCGGTGCCCTCTGCATAGGTCCACACAGTCGGGGTGCCCCGACAATCCGGGGTGCGGCGCACCCTATAGGCCCTGACCAACCCCCCCCCCCAGAGGTCCCAGGCCCCAGCGGGACTCCGGACACAGTATAGGGTAGAGCCGCCTCTCCCTGGGACCCGGGTCACAGGCCTGGCTGGGTCTCACACTGTCCAAACAAGGCTCGGGGTCCTGACCAAACCCTGCCCAGCCTCAGGCACTACCCGGTGACGCAGAGCACCTCGTGGCCATCAGAGATAGACACTGCTCTGGGGGTTCGATACCAAGTGGCCAAACCCCGCCCAGAACGCCCCAAACGGGAGCTCTGGTAAGAACCCTACAGCCCTGGAGAGGGAACTTCAAAACACCCATGCCGGTGTGCACACAGGCATGCACACACCTGTGCACACACACGCACAAGGTCATTGCAGAAGAGCAGGGGGGATGGGAGAGGTTGTGTGGCCATCCGGGGAAAAGGCATCTGCTCCTCCCTGTCTTCCTCCTTCTGGCTTTTTCCTCTCAGCCAGTGAAGCCCACCTTCCTGTTGCATCCTGAGACAGCATTCCTGTAGATTTGAGCTCTTGTGCATCTGCACGTCTTTATTCTCAAGTGATAGTTTGGCTGGGTATGGAATTCCAGGTGGGAAATGAAGTCCTGTTCTTTCATGACAGAGAAGCTTCTGCTCCATTGCTTTCCAGCTCATTCGGTGTTGAGACGTTTGAAGCTATTTTGATTGTTTTAAAGCCATTTTGATTCTGTTTGTGTGGAAACTGTTCTCTGGCGGCTTTTAGGGTCTTCTCTGTGTCACCACTATCTGACAATTTCCCAGGGAGGTGGCTGGGGTGAGTTTCCTGCCACCCCCAAGGCAGGACATGTGAGCTGTTTCAGGAAGACACTCTGTGAGGTTGTCTTCAGCTCTTTATGATTCCCTCCCTGTTTCCTCTGTTCTCTTTTTCAGAATTATAAATATTTGCTCTAAAGTCGGTCCCCAAACTGCCAGGGTTAGGCACCCATGAGCCTCCAGGCGCCCTGGGGGAGATGCTGGTCTTCACTGAGCCCCACTGCACACCACAGGCATGGTTCCCCAAGCAGGGTTGGAACATGGCAGGTGGCAGCCAGGCAGGGGCACACACCTTACTGGTTCCAAAATCCAAGCCCTTGGGGTCCCTCCCCAGACCGCCCAGCTCCTGTCTGAGCCACTGAATCCTCAGTGTGAAGACATGTGCCAAGGATAGCACTTTGACTTTGCAAACTGGTCCCACCCTCCCCTCAAAGCTGCATTTGAGCTTGGGTTTGATCAGAAGTCAGTTGGGAGACATGACTCGGTTACATCCAAACGGCCCCGGGAGCTGAGACCCCTTTCTCCCCACAGCCAGTCTCCTGGTTCTCCTGACTCTCCAAGAACCAGAATTACGGCTGCTAAGGTGCGGAAGACACCCGACTGGAACCCAAATACAGACAACCGTGGCAGTTCTTGGGGCTCAGGTGTGTCAGTGGCATGGATCTAGGCGGAGGACAGACTGAGGCAGCGATGGGGCCGTGTGCACAGGAGGGACTCCCCGCTTGTTCAGACCCCTCACTGTGACATGGGGTACAGTGGCGCCAAGAGGGAACACAGCGCACACTGAGGGGGCACTCACAACGGTGCTCAGAGAAGGGGCACCAGGAAGGCAGGAGAGAGGGGTGGGCTCCCAAGGGTCTGGCTGCAGCCTGAGCCGCAGGGATGCTGCCCGGGTGTCACTGCTGGCCCCTCCCCCTGGCGTCCACGCGGGACTGTGCGGCAGCCATACCCCCAGGAAGAAGAGTGTTCACAGAGAGGAAGGGGGTCTGCCGCCTCCTGAGAACTCGGATGGCTGCCATCACTCTGCTGCTTCCGAACACGCTCCGGCGCAGCCACGTACTTCTGCCCAGGAGGAAACCCAGGCAGACAGGCCAGTCTCACACAAGATGTCTTTGGAAGCAAATTCCACTGGGGGAACAGGGAGGATGGAGAAAGTGTCCCCACGAGAAGGGAGACGACCCACCACATGTGCTACACAGCACGTACAGGCGGGCACTCCGGCCGGGAAGCTTGGCTGGGCGGCCAGTGGGCGTCATTATCAGCCCCCTCTATGAAGGAGGGATCCAAAGCTCAGGTGACGCCTCGGAGCCCCCTGTGCTGGTCCTCAACTCCAAGCGCAGTGTGGTTCCCATCATGCCAGAGGTGGAGAGCCCAGAGTCTTCTAAGAGGGTGTTTCCAGTTCCTGACCCCACACTGGGACCTGTCCGGGGGTGTGAGTCTGGAGCAAAGCGCCACCCTCTGCAGCGGCTGCGTGCACTGCTCTCTGCAGCAACCGGAACTTCTTTCACACCTTGCCTTTTCCTCCCTTAATTTGGCTGTGATTCCGGTTCCCTGAGAATCCCAGAGTGAGCCAAATGCCCCCCATAACAGAGTCCCACCTGCCTCCAGTCTCCAGGTGTCCCTCCACGGCCGCCTGGACCCACAGGCATGGGGCAGCCCAGGGTCAGACCCTCATCCACAGCGGTTCCCCACCCCCACCCCACCCCCGCCAGCAGTCGGAGCCTAGAATAAACCTAAAAGAGACCTCAAAGCCCAAGCCCTGGGGACAGACGCTTGGCTCCGCGGGTTGTAGGATCTCGGGCACTCGGTCAGACTTGAGGGAAGACAAGTGAACAGGATGTGGGGACGAAGGCAGACGGATGCCTGAGACACACGAAACCGTAGTGATGATAAACTCCCCCCGAGGCGGGGGGTCACTCAGCCCTGCACTCAAGATCCTGCGAAGGGCGAACACTGGGTGGGCACAGGCGGCCTGACGCCTTGTCATGGGTGGGGACAGTGCAGTGGGGACTCTGGACTTGCACTGCTGTCCTGTTCCACGTGGACACCAAGGTCTCAGCCCCGCTCTCGTCAAAAGGATGCACGTAAGCTTCGGGGCAGGAGGTAAAGCTGGGCTCCCTGAGGACTGTTTGGCAGACAGGGTGCCACCCCACAGGGCAGACCATGAGGCACCCTGACACTAGCCCATCTCAGGAAGTGGGACCAGATGGGGCCCGACGGGCCGAACCTCTGGCTCTGCCGCCTCTCGCGGTGCCCACCCTGCCCTGAAGGACCAAGGGGCCCAGGAGCCGCGCCCAGAGCTCGCCCCCGGGTCCAGCCAGCTCCTCCCGATAATCCAGGTGCCAGCAGGCTGCCCCGCGGGGCGGGAGGCAGGCCCCGCCAGGGCGCCATCACACAGCGGCCCTCCGAAAGCGTGCCTGGCACTCAGCACTTCCTCCCCTCTGTTCTGTGAGCTCAGCCTGTCCCGAACCCACAGAACCGTGTGATTCCGTAATGGGAAGTTCATCCTCAGACGACACGTGTAGACAGGAGCTTTCACAGACGGTGCTGGGGAGGTTCGCAGGCCTTTGGGTCTGACGGTTATACAATTTGACAACTCTTTATTTTTTTAAAAAAAAAAAAAAAAGGCATACAAAATTATGAATACAGGGCCACCTGGGCAGCTCTTGGTTTTGGCCCAGGTCATGATCTCAAAGTTCATGAGATCAAGCCCCAAGTCAGTCTCTTCACTGACAGTGCAGAGCCTGCTTGGGAGTCTCTCTCTCTCTGCCCCTCCCCTGCTCACGTTCTCTCTCAAAATAAATAAACATTTTAAAAAAGAAGAAAAATATGAATACAAAATGAAGTACAAAAGTAGATACTTTATTATTTTTATTTTGAGAGGGAGAGGGAGCAAGCAGGGGAGGGGCAGAGACAGGGAGAGAATCCCAAGCAGACGCACCACTCAGCACAGAGACCGACGCTGGGCTCGATCCCACGACCCTGGGATCGATCCCACGACCCTGGGATCATGACTGAGCTGAAGTCAAGAGTTGGACACAACTGACTGAGCCCCCAAGCGCCCCAGAAAAGCAGATATTAGGGGCGCCTGGGCAGCTCAGTTGGTTAAGCGTCCGACTTTAGCTCAGGTCATGATCTCGTGGTTCGTGGGTTCGAACCCTGAGTCAAGCTCTGTGCTGACCGCTCAGAGCCTGGAGCTGCTTCAGATTCTGTGTCTCCCTCTCTCTCTGACCCTCCCCTGCTCATGCTGTCTCTCTCTCAGAAATAAAACATTAAAAATTAAAAAAAAAAAAAAAAAACAGAAAGCAGATATTATAGAAGCAAACCCAGCTTCAAAAGCTGCAAGTGCTGTACCAAAACCAGGAGACCCCGAAACACTGTGTGCTAAGCACCCACCACACCCCTGCGACCTGCATCCTGTGGGTCAGCCCTGGCCACTCGCTCCCAGGAGCAGCTTCTGGGGACGGGGCCCAGGCCACCCTCTTTGCCCGAGACTTCTGGTGACCAGCAGCCAAGGAGGCTGCCTCACCCTCTCGGGACACGCCCTTTACTGTTCACTGTCCGCCAGACCTCATGGAGTGACTGCAAAGAGCTGTCAAACCGCGTCCCCGTCAGAGGGAAGCAGACCTCCCCCTCCTCCTGCCTGTGCTATTCTGTTGAACAAAGTCAAGGAAACAAAACTGCTCTTTTAAGAAGCGACAGCTGGAGGCGCCTGGGTGGCTCAGTCGGTTAACCGTCCAACGTCGGCTCAGGTCACGATCTTACCTGATCGTGGGTTCGAGCCCAGTGTTGGGCTCTGTGCTTACAGCTCCGAGTCTGGAGCTGCTTCAAACTCTGGATCTTCCTCTCTCTGCCCCTCCCCCGCTTGCACTCTGTTTCTCTCAAAAAATAAATAAACATTAAAAAAAGCAAACAGTTTTGCCTATTTATTATCACAACACATTACAAAGTTTTCTTGGCAAACAGCTAAGACAAACATTAACTTACAATGCAAATAAAGGAAACCACTAAAAGTTTATTCCAATTTTTGTGCAAAAGGATTTATTAGCATCAATGCCACTCATGAATATTTCGCATCTCTGCAAGACCGAGGAAGGAAGAGCCACTGGTTTAGCACACTTTTTACGCAAAGAACAACTCTGGAAGCTTTGAAACAGACAAGATGGGGTGCTAACGGGAGCGATTCAGAGGACCCTAAATTCACCTAAGACCAGCAGCTTGCTCACTTCCAGAATCAGCTTCCAGACCTCTCAGCCTGCGCGGAGGCGGCACAGAAAGAAAGGGAACGCGCTGGCTTTGAAACTGATCATTAGAAGACGTCCTCAGTAGGGTCTCATGTCTACACTGAGTCTAACTCATCAAGAGGCATCTTCCCGAGCACCAGAGTCCCCCCTGGAGACGAGGCAGGCGGAGCCGGGGAAGGGTCCTCAGCAGCTCCGGGCACGCCGGCCGCTTCCTTCCTCGGCCCTCGGGGCAGCAGTGGTTTTGATTCTGCCCACACGCCGCGTGGGTCCCTCTGGTCACACCGAATTTCCGGTGACACTTTACCCAGCAGTGAAGTCTAATGGAATGTACAACCTCTGGAGGATGAAACCTTTCTCCCTCGTACTCTACAAGGCTTGGGAAATTAGTCAAGATTCGGGGAGGAAGGCCTGACGAAGAGGACTATGGGGACAGGAGGAGCCGGCCACAGGTTAGCACCTGAATCAAATCTCATTTGATGAGATTCCTCATGATACTCAGGGAGGACCCTCTATACCCTGATCCGAAGTGATTCCAGTGGTTCAAGTAGTGGAAGAGCTGATACAGCTGCAGGCGTGCCTCAAACCCCGGGGCCTTGGGGACTGCGCTGTGGTAGGCGGAGTAGAAGGAGCGGCTGAAGCCCCCAAACATGCCGGCTATCGCCAGCTCGTATTCCGAGTGGCCGTAGAAAGAAGCCGGATCAAAAATGATGGGCCCCGAGGAGTCCTCTGCTACGTTTCCTCCCCAGAGGTCTCCATGGAGCAGGGCTGGGACGATGTCCAGGTCACGAAACAGGTCAGGGATCTTTAGCTACAGGGAGGAAACGCATCGTCAGCAAAGAGACCAACACGTGTGGGAGGGATGCAGATGCACGTCTGAGTGCGGTCCAACCGCCCAAGCAGAGCACGGAGCAGACGCGCCTGGCCCCACACAGCTCGGGCACCGGGCACTGGCCAGCCTCGCCCCACCTCCTGTCCGGTGGCCCCACCTGCCTCAGGGCCACGCCTGTCGGGCTTGCAGGGCGAGACTCCTCTCACCTGCAGAGCAGACCAGAGCTCCAGGGCCTCCCTGTCCCCAGACCCCTTCTCCACCATGTCCATCTGGGGCTGAATGCGCTGCCGGGTGTAGAAGGTAACCCAGTCCTCCTGCCAGTCATTGACCTGCATGGACAGAGGAAAATGCCAGAGCCAAAGGAGGAAGCCCGAAGTGGAGAGGCACCACTGGGAAGGCAGGCTGTGGAACATGTGGCGGCGGCCTGGCAGACGGTGCCTCACAGACAGATGGGCTGGGACCTCAGACCTCATCCCAGAGGCGTGGGACCCTCCCAGCGCAGAGCAACAGAAGCCACTCCCAGGAGCTCTAAGATGCTCTCTTGCCATCCAGACTCACGTGGGAGCACAGCAGCCTGAGCCGCCTGGCCCTCTCCAACCCGTGGCTCATTTCTGACCATCCGCCTGGCCCCAAGGACCCCTCTTCCGCCCCTCCCAACGCTGACCATCAGGAGGGAAACAACAGATGCACACCAGAGCACAGAGCAGCACTCACATGTGCGCACGTGAGCACTCACACGTGTATGTGTCTGTGCACACACAGAGTGAGCTGCAGGCAGGCAAGGGGCAGAGCCAGCTGAACAGCCCCTGGAGCCTCGTGGAGCAGGTGGGACCAGGAACCCCAGGCACCAGCCACTCACCACCCCAAGCAGATTCCTGGACAACCTCTCATGATGTTTCAAACTCTGACAGTGTCTACTGTGCCCCCATGCCTGCTAGAGAACCCCTAAAAGGCCTCCAGGTCACCTGCTATTCCTCTTTTGAGGAGCCACAGCTTCCTCCATGAGCACAGCCACCATCCCCCCACCCAGCAGGTGCTGGGCATCAAGTGGAACCCCTGGATCGAAATTCCCAGGGAGTCAACCACAAAATCATAAAACTAAAAGGCACAATCCCCGTGCATTGTGCTGTCAATGAGAATTTAGTATCACGGAAATTTCCCTTAATCCCTAATTTGTACCCACCTTGAACTCCAGCACCCTGACTTGTTGACCCTGTTTCTCTGAGCTCATCTAGCATGTGAGTGGGGACCTGTGTCAGCCTCTTAAAAATCAGCAAAGAAAAAAGGGAGCAAAGACTTTAACTAAATTTCATAAAGAAGGGAGAGCTCTGTCCCTGAACAGCTGACCTGCCTGGGGCACGCAAGGCAGAGTGCTGCCGTCGCTCACCTGGGGTAGGTACCCACAGCACGTCGCCACGTCAAACCCGAACTGGTCCACGAAGGGCCGATCCGCCTGCCCGCCTCCTCTCCCTTGCAAAAGGAAAGCAAGAAGGACATCTAGTCCCCACGCTCCTCGGGCTACTCGTGGGGCTCAGGGCACTGAGGCCTGTCCTGGGCGTGCCTTCCCCACACCCCATCCAGAGACAGAGAAGGGCCCTGGTCTGCACAGACCCCCAGGACCGTGAACAGAGCCTGCTCCATTACATTCAACCACTGCCAGGAGAGGCGCTGGAGGACGCTGAGCACAGACACAACACTTGCCTACAAAGGAGGAAAACCACCCGCCCCCTGACCTAGCGGGAAAGGAGGGCTCTCAGCAGCCATCCCAGCCCTTGCCGTCTGTGAAGGTTAACCACAGGGATATGAAATGGCCTCCTTTGCATCTCCCCCGAACTCAGAGCAAACCCCAAAGGCCCAAAGTACATGTGGCTTGGAAGGGGCAGACGAAGTCTGATGGGGTGTGTCTAGCACAGCCGATTCTCGGTCACCTGTCCCGGTATGTCAGCCACTCCGGCAGCACAGTGACCCCAGGGGCTACCACATGGATTATCATGTGCCAAAGGGTAAAAACACTGGAAGATACTCTCAGTGCGAATGCTAAGCTGTAGAAAGGTGATACGAGGACCACCCTACTGGGCCTCAGTGTGGCTGTACTTAGAAGACGCACCGCACAGAAAGCCAGAGTGACCTTGACAGGCTTTTTTCTGAGGAATGAGGGTTACAGGAACCATAACATGATGGGGTTTCGAGTCCAGGAACTACTTCCCCTTCCGAATGCACTGTGACACAGGACAGAGCCCACTCACTGTGCTCACTGTACCCCATGCATGTAGCCTTGGGGTTGACGCTCCTTTCCTTTGCCATCAACACAGACCTGACCCTCCTACAGCTGTGGTGGGACCCCACCCCAACCCCGGCCCAATGTCCTCCAAGGGCCCCGCGGTCGCACAGCTCCGTACCCACGGTGCCGGCCTCCTTCCGGAGCGTCTCCCCAAGCCTCTTGTTGTCTAGATGCAGGTCTGCAAGCTGGGCTCCAAGCTTTGCAGCATGGCTGTGAGGCAAACAACATCAGCTAAGTGTGTGTCACACAGACACGGGGACACAGCCACCCACAGTCTCAGGCCACACGAAGCAGCTCAGGGGATACGAAGTCTGCTTTGGTGGACCAAAGGGGACAAGAAGGGCCCTGGTTGTTTGATGGTCTTTCCCAGCCCTTCCGTGGCTGCTGGCTTGTCAGTCTCTCACCTGGGGAGATCCCTGCCCGTCTGCCTTTAGCGTGCGGAGTACGTGTCACTCACTCGGCAGAACCCATGACGTGTGGGGTCACGGGCTCCTCAAAATCACACCCCCTGATGCAAGCTTTCATGTAAGGAACCACTCGGAAGAAAGCCAAAAACACACAGAAGGCACCAAGACAGACCTGCTGAGAGAGCGCATGTCCAAATGCTCCATCACCAGCATGCTGCCGCCTCCTGGGGCGTCCAGGACCTTGATGGGCTTGGGCACTTTCACTGTGCCTGTTCTCAGGATGGCCGTTAAACTTGCCATCTCTCCTTCAAACATTCTTTTGGCCTTTCCAAAAAATAATGGAGATGGGGAAGAGAGGGGAGAGCAAGATTACTTCCAGAAAGGATCTACGTGGACATGTTTTCTTGAGCATAACAATTTATTTTCAACATTCTTTTAAGCTTTACTTATTTTTGAAAGCGAGTGAGTGAGAGAGCACGCAGGCACGTGCGCCATGAGCAGGGGGAGGTGCAGAGAGAGAGGGGGGCACAGAACCTGAAGCAGCTCCAGGCTCTGAGCTGTCAGCACAGAGCCCGACGCGGGGCTCAAACTCAGGAACCATGAGATCATGACCTCAGTCCACGTCGGACACTTAACTGACTGAGCCCCCCAGGAACCCCAGCCCTCCCTTTAAAGTTGCCTGTTTTTTTGTTTTTTTTGTTTTTTTTTTTTTTAAGTCAAAATGCTACAGAAGTATGAGCAGAAAAGGGCACAAGCGGGAGCATCTGATTCCAATTCTCACCAAGTCCACACGTGGCGTGACCGCTGCCCGGAGGCGCCCCGCCCCCAGCCGCCTGTGTCCTGCTCCGCACAGACCTGCCTCGTCTGCTTTGTCCTTCTACAGGCAGACAGTCTGGCTCCTATGTCCCACTGCCTTTGTTATGCTGCTGCATCAACAGAGTTTGTTCTCACTGCTGCATGGCGCTCCACGGTGCGAACATTCCAGAATGGGCCCACCCAGCATACTGGGGTCAGACAGCTGGGCTTCCAGAATGGGGCTACTTATTCTCAGGACTGACTCTGTGACCTCAGGCAAGTTACTTAAAGTCTCTGTGCCTGGTCCCTCATCTGCAAAAGTGGGGTTAATAACAGCACCAATCTCACAGGCTCGCTGCCATGAGTACCTGAGGCAGCGGCTAACACCTTCCTACCCCAACCCAAACGCTTCGTAACCTTGTTATTCGTAACCTTGTTATTCGTTGTTCGTAAACCTGCAGAGCTACCGTCACTGAGGAGGAAGACACGGGCTGTGCCTTGAGAATTTTCAGAGCATTCTCTCTAGGAAATAAAGGGTAAACAGCTGGGCCCCGGCTGCACTTTGTACTAGAGCACTGGTCATGAAAAGGAAAGTAAGGGATAGAATAAAAACAATAATCATCTGGGGAGAGGAGGAGTGAGAGGAGGGAGAAGCAGGCAGCAGGTGGGGGTAGGGAGGAGGACGAGGGGAACCAATCCTGCGAGTACGCCAGACAGAGAAGAATCTTATTTAGAGCAGGGCAGTTCCAGTAGGTGCGAAGGAAGAGAGGAGAGCAAACTCGCAGTCTTCTCCTAGAAGGATGGAAGATATTTTCACTTCCTACAAGGTAAAGCATTAAAAAGTCCCGTTTCCCGTACAACAAGCAAACGTGCATCCTACAGCCAGTACATCTATGTAACTCACACAGTGTTCTCAAAGCCAGCTAGAAATCTGGAACTATCTCCCAAAGGACCAGGAGGAACTTACATAAGGAAGATTAGCAATAAGAAAATGGACTTGGGGTGCTCACGGCTGCCTTGGTCAGTGGAGTATGTGGCTCTTGATCTCAGGGTTGAGTTCGGGCCCCATGTTGGGTGTAGAGATTACCTAAAAATAAAATCTTAAGGAAAAAAAAGAAGAAAATGGACCTTGATGACAACAGAAGAACCTGAAGAAACAGCCCCAGAAGAACAAGGCTTGAAAAGCATCATAAGTGGGCCCATTGTCGTCATCAGAAAGGGTCTTCTTCCACTCTAATGCACACCCATCTTGAACTATCACAAACGCCAGTGAAGGTGCAAATACAAACACGCGACACAGATGGGAAGAACAAACACCGGAGGGCCCTGCAGGAGCTGAGGAGGGACGGCACCCCAAGCACAGGTGCTGACAAGTCCCTGTAAGAGGCTGTGCAGCGAGGGCGGCTGATCTCCACACAACACAGGCTGGAGGCCGGGCTGGAGGGAAGAGATCACCCCGTACCATGGAAGGTGCAATGCACATCGGGAAGAGAATGAAAACACTTGCAAGAGTGATTTCTAAGGACAGAATGAAAGCACGCCAGGTGTGCAACACGCAGCCTTGGTCCTGGACTCAGTCCCTGCAGCCTTGTTTGACATGAGGATTGTCGGATCCTGCTCACTGACTACTGGAGCCAGCCTGGGCCTTCCAGCTGGGGGTCCTGGGTGATCCGACCAGACCGGGCAGAGGTGACAGCAACAACCGGGGTTAAGCAAAAGGTCAGCAGTGAGGTTCACCTATGTTCTACAGGCCCTTCTCCAAGTCCCTGCAGGAGCGGAAGGTTGCGGAGCGGGCGGCTGCGACGACGGAAGACGCCGTCCCCCCAGGCCTACGTTGACACCTAACCCACAATGTGGCAGAGATGGAGGCGACCAGACGCCATGCGGCTGCAGCCCTCATAACGGGGCTAGGGATTTTACAAACGAGCCCCCAGAGGGCTCCCTCGCCCCTGTGACAGGTGCGGACACGGGGAGCAGTCCCCTCCCCCATCAAGTGGGCTCCCACCAGACACCTGCCAGCGCCCAGGACGGAGAACGGCCGTCAGCCCTGAAGCTGTCCAGTCGGTGCTATTCCGTTACAGCGGCGCAAACTGACGGGTGGCTAGATTATCCTCAATAATGCAGAAAGGAACCCAGGACAAGGGGCTTCTACTACCAGCCCTTGTTCAAAATTCCCCAAACAAGGGACGTTCTCAGAGAAGCGGCTGCATCCATCACTGGAAAACCATCCCCAGAACCCACCAGCCGCACCACAGCGGGGAGCAAACCTGAGCAGGGGTCCGCAGAGGGTCTGCTAACCTCCCCGGGGCTGATAGCACGGATTCTGGGTGCACGACCCCCAGACCGCCCAGACGCAGCCTTATGCGCGAGGGCGTCACCAAGGGCAACCGCCCTGCGGCCCTCCTGTGCGGCCCTCACCCCCACGCCAGACCCCGAGTCGCGGGCCTCGGACCCCCTCAGACTCCGGACTAGGACCCCAGCCCCGAGTCTCGGCCCCCAGCCCCATTCCAGACCCCGACGGGCGGACCTCGGACCCCGCCCCGGGCCTGCAGCCCCACCCAGATCCCAATCGCCGACCGCCATCCCCCCAGCCCGGCCCCGCCCACGGCGGCCCTGACCTCCGCCTTGGAGTTCACTTTTACAAACACGCGTCCTCTGTCCGTGTCGTAACTCTGGCCTTGGCTAATGCACCCGCCCCCCGAGTGACTCGTAGCCTTGACGAAGTCGCAGCCCAGCTCCCGCTTCAGCAGCGCCTCCATGTTCAACGAAGCGCCGCGACGGACTGCCTTGGGGGACGCGGAGGGGAAAAGCTAGCGGCAGGGACTCACAGTGATTGGGTGAGGCGTGGGGGGGGCGGGACAGGGCCGCCAGAACTCCTGGAGATTGGATGAGACACTGGGGGGGCGGGACAGGGCCAGGAGAACACACGAGGATTGGGTGAGGCTCTGGAGGGCGGGACCCGGCCTCCAGAACGTTGGGGGATTGGGTGAGGAGCAGCGGGTCTCTTCCGGCGGTTGTGAACTTGGTACCTGGTGGTGGGGGACGGAGCTCCCCCTTCTGGCCTCCGTCTCCATTTTAGGAGAGATTTTCTTCCGTTCCTGTTCATGCCCGTGATTATCGGTTAGCATCCGTCTCCCCAGCTGGACGAGCGGTCGGAATCAGCTTTGCTCCCTCCAGAGGAGAGGGGAGGACAGGATACACACCCGGAGAGAGAGGTTAATTTTAAGGGTGGGCTCTGTTATCCTTAAAAATAATAAAACTTCCAGTAATTTTACAAGCAAAGATGGGGTTATTTGGGAATAGCAGGGACTTGCTCGACAGGGTAAGTAGGCCAGAAGCAGAGGCAGGTCTGGAGGACGGGGAAGGAACGGCGGCTGTAAGCGAGGCTCCTGGGTGACGCCGGGTGCTGGACACGAGTCAGGCGGTGAGGTCATTAGTTGCAGCAACAATAAACTAAGTAAAAACTGCGTAAACAACAGAAGACTCAATATATTTGCGGTAGAAGTGGCTCCAAAATCTACAGTGGCCTGTCAACATGTGATGCCTCTGCGGGAACTGCAAGGCAGGACATGTTAACTGTGTGTTTTCCCTTTTATCTTAAATACTGTTTTCTACTTGAGGCTATCAAACTAAGAATTATTCGGATTTAGTCTCTTATTTGACAACTAAATGCTAATCAACTGATGCACATAAATAATCTATTTAATCTGTATGTATTTAGGTTTTATGCCCATGTTATAGGCTTTATTACTAAAATATAAATAAATAGGGGCACCTGAGTGGCTCAGTCGGTTAAGGACTCACCTTGTCCCACAGAGACAGAGAGGTAGCACCCACATCAGTGTAAGTAACCCAGAAAATGACCTGAAGATGGCAGAACAGACTCGCCATAGCTAAAGGTTGAGAAGAGGCCACATGGAAGGGGGTAGGAAGGGAGGAGACACAGTTAGGAGCCAAATGGAAGTAGGGACTGTCCTCAGGAGGGAGAGACACAGGTACATGGAAAGGGGAGAGGACCAGACCCTCACACCAGCCACCCAGGCAAGGGGAACCCACATGAAAAACAGAGGGGCATAATTTCACAAGTTCACAAGCCAGTGGGGCTTAACACTTGGAACTTTAAGACATTATTCGGACTGAGGAGCCTGGGTGGTCAGGCAGCTGAGCATCTGACTCTTGATCTCGGATCAGGTCATGATCCCAGGATCGTGGGATAGAGCCCCACATTGGGCTCCACGCTGAGCATGGAGCCTGCTTAGGATTCTCTCTTCTCTCACTCTCGCTCTCTCTCCCACTCTCTCTCCCCCCCTCCACTGTCCCTCTCCTCTCCCCACTGAAATAAAAGAAAAGAAAAAGACATTATTCAGACTGAAGACCATTTGCTTTTATTTCTAGTGATGAAATTTTCTACCAGCAGGACCCTCTCAAAGGAAAGACAAAAGAAAAGTGATCACAGGTTGTAAAGCTGAAATGTAAGAAGGAGCAAAGAGCAAAGAAAGTGGTACATAAGTGAGAAAATCTAATTAAATATTGTACAAAATAACAGTAAGTCTTATGAAAAATGAGACAGTTTTAAAAATAATTGGATTGGGATGCCTGCGTGGCTCACTCAGTTGAGCATCCGACTTCAGCTCAGGTGACGATCTCACAGTTGGTGGGTTTGAGCCCCACAGCAGGCTCTGTGCTGACAGCTCAGAGCCCGGAGCTGCTTCGGATTCTGTGTCTCCCTCTTTCTCTGACCCTTCCCTGCTCATGCTGTCTCTCTGTCTCTCTCTCTCAGAAATAAAAACATTTAAAAAATTAAAAAAAAAAGAGTAAATTGTTCTAAGATTTTTGTATTGTTTGTTCAAGAGTAAAGGAGAGATGCCTGGCTGGCTCAGTTGGTGGAGAGTGCAACTATTGATCTCGGGGATGTGAGTCCAAGCCCCGTGTTCGGTGAAGAGATTACTTAAAAATAAAATCTTTAAAAAAAAAGTAAAGATAATGATTAATTTTAGTCTTTGATAAATTAAATGTTCATATTATAATTTCTAGAGAAGAGAATTTATAACTTTCCTTTTTTTTTAAGTTTACTTATTTTAAGAGAAGGAGAACATGAGCAGGGGAGGGACAGAGAGAGAGAGAGAGAGAAGGAGAGTGAATCCCAAGCAGGCTCCATACACTGTCACCACAGAGCCCGATATGTGGCTCAAACTCATGATCCGTGAGATCACGACTTGAGCTGAAGTCAGACGCTTAACTGACTGAGCCACCCAGGTGCCCCATAACTTTCCTATTAATGGAAGGAAAAATTAGGGGCACCTGGGTGGCTCAGTCAAGTGAACTTCGGACTCTTGGTTTTAGCTCAGGTGTGAGTTCAAGCCTCATACTGGGCTCTGTGCTGGCAGTATAGAGTGTGCTTGAGATTTTCATTCCCTCTCTCTCTGTCCTTCCCCTGCTCACTCTCTCTCCAAATAAACTTAAAAAAATTTTTTTTAATTTTTTTAATGTTTTATTTATTTCTGAGAGAGAGAGAGAGACAGCGTGAGCAGGGGAGGGTAAGAGAGAGAGGGAGATGCAGAATCTGAAGCAGCTCCAGGCTCTGAGCTGGCTGTCAGCACAGAGCGCGATGCGGGGCTCAAACCCATGAACCGTGATACCACGACCTGACCTGAAGTGGGATGCTTAACCGACTGAGCCACCCAGGCGCCCCGATAAACTTAAAAATTTTTAAAGAAAAAGCTTAATGAAAATTTTTAAAAAGAAGCAAAAGTTAATCCCAAAGAAGGCAAGAGAGTAAAAAACATGAACCCAGTAGGATAATAAAAGTCCACATAATAAGAGGGTAGGTTTAAAGCCAAATATAGGGATAATCACAATAAATGTAAATGAACAAAATGCCCAGTTCAGAAACAAAGAACATGAGACTTGGAAAAAAGTAAAACACAACTTGTGTTCTTTGTAAGAGTCAAAAGTAAAGCATAAAAATAAGAAAGGTTTGTGGCGCCTGACTGGCTGAGTCAGAGGAGCAACTGACTCTTGATCTTGGGGTCATGAATCGGAGCCCAACATAGAGTGTAGAGATCACTAAACAAAGAAACAAAACTTTAAAAAAATAAGAAAGGCTAAAAGAAGTGCCATAGAGTATTGGCCAAGAGAGAACTGACAATGTCACTACAATGATGTGAGACCAGTAGATTGGAAGGCACGCGCGCGCGCACACACACACACACACACAGACACACGCACGCACGCACGCATCACATGACTCCAATGGTGTTGGCCACACCGACCGGGATGGAAACTCCCTACAGCTGTGCAGTTAGAAGGGTCAGAGACGAGTCATCAAAGATGGTCGTTGCATACTTATGAGAGGTTTAACACGGGAAGGAAAATCAAGTTTAAATGTGGGTGTGGTAGCCTTACACAGAGTAAGTGATGCCCTGTGAGTGGGTGTGCACTAACTGCACACTCACGTGTGGCACCTCTGCCTACAATGAAAGAACCACAACTCCTCCCAGAAAAAAATCTAAGAGAAGGATATAGAAGGGTGTCTTAAGACATAAAACTTTAGCCATAAACTACATTAAGGCCATTATAATGAAGATTTAAGGACGCCTGAGTGGCTCAGTCGGTTGAGTGTCCAACTCTTGATTTCGGCTTTGGTAGTGATCCCAGGCTCCTGAGTTCGAGCCCCATGTCGGGCTCCACGCTGAACATGGGCCCTGCTTGGGATTCTCTCTCTCTCTCTTTCTCTCTCCCCCTCTCCCTCTGCCCCTCTTCCCTGCTCTCTCTCTCTCTCTAAAATACGAAAATTTTAAAAATAAAATGAAGATTTTCTTTACACCAAAAGATATCTTAAAGAGAATGAACCAAGCCACTGAGTGGGAAAAGATACTTTTCAATCCAATGTAACTCACAAAGAACTAGAATCCCTATTTTTTTTTCAGCAGGTTTCATACCCAGTACAGAGCATGATGCCAGGCATGAACTCAAAACCCTGAGATCAAGACCTGAGCTGAGATCCAGCCAGTGGTTTTATTAGTTTTCTAGGGATGCCATTTAAAAATGCCATAGACTGGGGGATGGAAACAACTGAAACTTATTTTCTTATGGTTCTAGGGGCCAGAAGTCCAAGATCACGTTGTCCTCAGCATTGGTTTCCGGTAAGACTAGTCTCCTTGGCTAGCAGACCTCACTCTGTCTCAGCCTCTTTTCTATGTACCTATGGAGAATGAGCTCTGGTGTCTATTGGATTAGGACCTCGCCCTGTGACCTTGTTTAACTTTATTACCTACCTATCTCCAAATACAGCCACATGACATATTAGGGCTTCCACACGTGGGTGGGGGAGGAGGTGAACACAGTCCAGTTTCTAACCCCTGGTCTTTCTGGAAGTCAGTATGCTGGCCTAAGCATATGCTGTTGGCACCCTGACTATGTGCCCTCAGCTCTCACAGACTCCCAGTATGCCAGCCTGAGGTCCCCAGGTGCCAGTTCCTGGGGCTCTGAGCCTTCTCTGACCCCACACGGCACCAAGGGGGTGCACTTCAGTCACTGCCCCACCCCATGGGGCTTCCCGGGGTCACCCCCATGTAAGCTACTTGCACTTGTACTTTGTCTGCTTCTGGGGAAGCCCACCCTCAAGGCGATGGTAATGGCCACACAGGAGGGAAGGTGTTGTATTGGGGAAGTCTAAGGGCTGGGGGGGGGGCGGGTCAGGCAT